TGTCTATTGTGTCTATAATATCTATATATATACACAATAGATGTCTATTAGGTCTAACTGTGTAGTGTCTATTCTGTCTATGGACCAAAAAAAGACACGAGTGTCTATTGTGTCTATTACGAATCCTGTTCATGACTCAGAATTTTTTCGGAGTCTTTTAATTTTTGCAGCTGAATAAGTTGTTTGATATACTGCGAGGATCAGCTCAATAGTCCCCTTCACAGTTCCCTGCGCCATCTTGAAAGGTAGCCGTGCCTTTGCATCGAAGCGAGACAAACAGTGAGCTTGCAATGATAGAGACATGCGAATAATTGTCCAAGGTGTTAAAAAAGGTCTCTATTATTGCCAGCTCGCCGTTCGTCTCGCTTCGATACAAAGGCACGGCTACCTTTCAAGATGGCGCAGGGAATTGTGAAGGGGACTATTTGATACATTACAATCGCAGCACAAACATATAGTTAATATATTTTCTCATACACATACACAATAGTGTGGGAAAAGGCGGCATCTTTTCATGTGGAAGGATGATAAAGGGAACGTCCAGCTTATTTGACTTTGGTTTTCCTGGTGGGTCGCAGCAAATGACTGTAGCAACCAGACCCTGCTTTTCGAACCTTAAAATTTTTTCTAATATTTTGTTCTCGGAAAAAAATTCCGAGCTCCAGGCGGGAAAAATATGCTTGAAGAAACACAACTTGCATCTTTAATTATTATCCAAGCAGCAAAAACACTTTAATAAATTTGAAATTGTTTGGGATTTAGGATTGGAGGGGATAAGGAAGGGGTACTTTTAAGATGGCTTTTAATATCTGCAAACTGATAAATCCTAATGCTACAAAGAACACAGTGCTATCTTTATTCTCAGATAGATAAGCTTTTCTAAATTTAATATTTTGCTACAAGTTTCATCTTGTCACGTCCACCATGTCGGATAATTCTACATTGGTTTCTTTGCCATAGCAAAAACAATTTTGTACACCTGCGGCAGTACCATATGAAAAATGAGTGTAAGACTAGCTGGGAACGAGCACCACGAACAATTAATGATTTAAAAAATATTTTTTGACTACAAGAAAGACCATGTCTATAAATTAGTAATTTCGGAAAGTGCTGTTGTAATATATTAAATCCCTGAAGAGTTATAAGCATTTTTCCTACGCAGCCACTATTAGTGTCGTCACGCAACGCTCACTCCCCTAAGTAGCGCCGCTCAAGATTAGTAAGTCTGGCAAATTTGAACATTATTGGATGAAAAGAACCGGAATTATTGGCTTTTGAAAGTGTCAAAAATTAACAAAGAATGTATGGTTACAGGTTATCCAGCCTCGTCCCAGTCTTTTGCTCGTTTCTTAAGTGGCCAATTAACATTCCTTAGGAGTCTGCCAAGCTGTTTCATTCCCAACCTCTTGACGATCAGTCCTGCTATTCAATGCCTTATCTTCAAATGCTTCACTAGTATTCCTACTTACTATATCAAATTCTATACTGTTTTTGATTATCACTCAATCTGCTTTCTCCACACTAGATTCATCGTCTCTACAATCATCTGCTAAAGCAGAAGTCTCTGTTAGCAATGGTTTCTCTCCAACAGAAATATTACCAGAATCTTGGTTAGCTGGTTCTTCATTTGTTTCTTTAATTGAAATAACAGATACTAAGTCATCTTGTGAAAAAATATTAGCCGTTTGTACTCTTTCTTCCGCGACACTTATGTCACGCATGTCATGATTAGTGCAGTCTTGCTCATGTAAGTCATCTTTAATATTTTGACCCACTTCGTTACTTGTTGATCGAGTCTCTGCGCACTCTAAACCAGTTTTATCTTCAGTATGTAAATCATGTGTACTCTTTGGTGAATCTTTTACCAAATCGTCCGGTACAGATTCAATCTCTGCGCGCGCAACATCAACTCTTTCATCAGGCTGCGACGTTTCCACTTTGCTGGAAGACTCCTTGTGATCATTTGAATCATTTGTAACCAAATCCTCTGATTTCTCAGTATTAAGCAACTGTGCATCTTTAACTGCGCAAGGAAGCACGTCACTTTTATCTGCCTCTAGCTTAGATTCATAAGATTCCTTCTTATGATCGTTTGAATCATTTGTATCCGTATCTTCTGATTTCTCGGGATTAAGCATTTCCGATTCTTTATTCGCAAGATCGTCACTTTTATCTGCTTGTAACTTAGCTTCATCTAACTCCCCTCCAACCACATCAGCACACACAAGATCACCAGATTTTTCACCTTTTGGATCATCACTGATGTTGTTACAATATTCTTCTTTCTTTTCATTTGGAAGCAACTTGTTTGATATGTCCTGTAAAGATGCCAGTTCTTCGTAACCAACATCAGCTCTTTTTCCAACGCCTACCTCAGTTTCATTGATTTTATATTGCTTGTTTTCATTCTTACCAATACTGGATTCCGCACTAGAAGACTCCGTATCAACCTCCTGTACGATGACAGTACAGGGTGCATCGCTTGGATCTTCAGGAAGGATATTCTTTATACGGCTGAGAAGTGGACCCTCTGGTTTTGGTTCTTGATTACTACCAATCAAAACATTGCGCACTCGGTTAAGTAGAGGACTTGGACTGATTCGTCCAGCTTCTAGTTCTGGAGTATTGCTTGGGACTGCTATTCGTTGGTCGAATAAAAGTGGTGTCTTACGCAAGGCGCTTTGGTCGAATGCTTTTAAAACCTTTTGAAAATAGAAAAAAATGGCAACATTTTTTTACTGAGTCATCAAACGTGGCGGTTGACAAAGATGAACGTTAGTCGCGGCCAGTCGCACGAAACGGGATATATGTATTGTTATTCATTATTATTTATTTATCTATATTATTATTTATTTATTTATATTTATATTTATATTATTTATTGTTATCATATAATTATCCATAAAATATCTATATTTCTCCTTTTCGAAAAACTGATATTTTTACATGTGAAAATATCGTTACCATGTGTATTGAAGCTATAATTTATAAATAAAAACTTTTTATTATGATAAAAAGCTTGGTAAGTTGATTTTATGGATAATTATATAATAAACAGAATATTACATGGGCGCTTGGAGATACGAAATTTATCTTCTCGTGTTGAAAATCTCTCACTCGTTCGCTGCGCTCACTCGTGAGAGATCTTTTCAACACTCGAAGATACATTTCGTATCTCCGCGCGCCCATGTAATATCCTCTATATATTTATTTATATCAAAGGGACATTCATAAGTATCTGGCCAAATAACAAAGATAGAAATGGACAGAAAGACAAAGTAAGCATAGGAGGAAAGGTGAATACCAAGGACGGTCCAAACATTATTTCATCCGAGTTTGAGGAAAAAACTGGGTCGAGTTGGGATTGTGGTGCATTGTGGGACTGTTTGAGGGGACATAATTCCAAGATGGCGTCCAGTTCGTCCCCTAAAACCGCCCCAAAATGTACTGCAATGCCAACTCGACCCAGATTTTTCCTCAAGGAATTAGAAAATTATGAAAATTTATATGAACTGGAAAAAATTAATTGGTATCAACCGACAGATAGACAGATAGATAGAATGACAGATCGATAGTTAGGGGTAGATTAAGATCACCTTACCTCTTCATCCACATTCAAAGGAAACAGTGGCTTGCTCTTATCAACCGTGACTGTACGCTTCAAAGACTTGCGCCTTTAGGGGAAAAAAGGAAAGGGTTAAAATGTTTGTTTACATATTGGTTCAAATGTTGGGTCACATGTTGGGTCAAATGTTGGGTCACATGTTGGGTCAAATGTTGGGCCACATGTTGGGTCAAATGTTGGGTCACATGTTGGGTCAAATGTTGGGTCACATGTTGGGTCAAATGTTGGGTCACATGTTGGGTCAAATGTTGGGTCACATGTTGGGTCACATGTTGGGTCAAATGTTGGGTCAAATGGTGGTTCACATGTTGGGTCAAATGTTGGGTCAAATGTTGGAACCGTTGAATGTCAGGGCCTTAAGCCCAAACAGCCGGAAAATCTTTCGAAGCTTTGATTCAAAGCCCATATGAATATCACTTTTATCTAAAATAGCTGTTAAACATTTGAAATATAAGCGGCCAATCAGAACCGCAGGATTATATCCCTAGTTCGCCTAATTTATTGATTAGTCAGCGGAATTCAATTTCGTATGAATGCGAAACGTTACAGTGTAACCAATCACAGTGCGGGAGACCATGGTTCAACCAATCAGAATGTTTTGACACGGCAACGTCACGGTCAAGGTCATGGCACGTCCATACCGTACGTATTTCACAGCCAAACAACAACTACTCTAAGGCTCAGGTCAAACGTCGAACTTCACGTGAGCCGAACTTAATAGAAACAGTGGATAACAAGGCGGTCTTCTTTGATGTTATTGGGTTCGGCTCATGTGAAGTTCAATGTTTGACATGAACCTAAGCGCTGTCTTTTCCTCGGCTCGTTTCTGTAGCATTTACCTATCAAATGATCGTACAGCTTTAGCAATCTCCTGTAGTTTTTCCACTTCACCGCGTTCAAGCTGTTCAAATATCTGACTCATTTTCGTCTGAGGAGCCACAATACTGCTGCCACATGCACTGCTCTCGGTTAAGGACCTGAGACGAGTTTCTTTATCTTTCGTCTCCGGGGTGTTGTTAGACGTGTTCTCATTGGACGTTGAGGCTGGGGTCGCCCTGTAATAGATTTTCATTGCCTGAGGTTTTGGAATCGTTTTTGGAGGAGAGGCTTTGGCTTCGACAGGATTTGCAAGAGAGACATCGAACTGCCTCTTCGAATCTTTTGAAAGACCTAAAAACATAATAAAACGGCTTAGAGTTGAAAAGACTTAAAAGTATAGAACCTCTTCAATGAATCTGGGATCTCGATTTATAATTTCCATCGTCAATAAAACAAATTAACTGCAGTGACGGAACTTTGAGTTGCAAATTTTCTCTTTTTTTATGTGTGTAAACGAATGTAGAGGCAATCAAATCGTAAATAAAGTTTTCATCTTTTTTTACTATTAGTATATGTAATAGGACTCCATGCTGTCCAATTAAGAAATAATTGGACGAGGAAAATTCCGAGGACTAACAAAATTGGACTCCAATTTGGCAGTCAGAGGAATTTTTCGAGTCTAATTATTTCTTGATTGGGGAGCATGAAATCCCATTACCTATTAATTATATAGCTGCCTAATTAATCCCATATCAACAAGACCTGTTCAATTAAGAAAATAATGGGACAGTTTCCTATATGGGATTAATAAGAAGCTGTATGATGATTATTATTATTATTATTATCATCATCATCATTATTATTTGGAAATATATGAGGATGGATACCAATAGAGAGGGAGGTAGGAAAGTTGTGCCTCCTATTGAAGTGGGTAGCGTTATATTCCAGATACGCTATGTCTATTACCCTCCCCTCCCTCCTAATGTCCAAATAAATGTAAGTCCATTAATTCTGATGGACAGAGGCCCTTGTACTTACCAGCCCAAGTGTTTCTTCTTGCTGAATCTTTAAGTAACAGCTCTGTGAATTTCCCACTGTCGTCCAACACTTTGACTACGTCATCTTGCTAAATTAAAAAGACATAAATAACCATTATATTATGTAAATTTTACACCATCACGTGCCGGCGCTCATAACACAGCTTGGGCTGCCTGTGGTTAGATGGCAGAACAATAAAATCCCTTTGCTTTTGGGAATTGAATTCTTTCTTATGTATAACGATTGTATTGTTCCTTGCATCTAACATGGCTCTGTCGTTACGCGATGGTGAAAAACCTCTATTCTTCACAACTTCCGCTGAAGAGGAACAAGGGATTAAACGTTGGATCGAAACGTTGGGAAGTTCTCATATATGCATTATTTCTAAACAGAAAAACACTTTATTCGACATTAGACAGAATCAATTAAGCTTGCATGGTATGCGACGTAGAGGGCCTTTCCTTAACTAGCGAACATTGTGCATTGTGGTCCTCATTATGCCTTATATGGCGTTGATTGCACCGAAGCTAGACCACAATGCATACTGTTTATTGAACTCCGACATGTGCCATGGGGCTGAGGTCGAGTAACGGGATCCGTGAAATGGTCTATTGTATTAAACATGCATGACATACCTTGGCATACTGCATTGGTGTTAACTGTATCTTATTTCTTGTTGTAACTGAGGCGCCGTGTTCTAGTAAAACACGAACCAGAGCTACAAAGTTCCACCTGGGAAAGAAAACCGCAAATATCACCACCCTGACATACTATTTAAAGAATCAAGGTATCACGTTGGAGCCCTCCTGGACTTGGCATTTACATGGGAGTACTGTTTGTTAGGTCTCTTCCTAGATTCAAGGGTTTCTCTCTGGATTCTCCGGGTTTCCCTCCGCAAAGCCTAACAAGCTAAATGCCATTTTGATGTGTGAGTTAGCCGTGTCCTGACTTAGATCAGCCCAGAGGTTGTTTCAGGGTCTGATCTGTGAGTTAGCCGTGCCCTGACTTTGATCGGCCCAGAGGTTGTTTCAGGGTCTGATCTGTGAGTCAGCCATGACCTGACTTTGATCAGCACAGAGGTTGTTTCAGGGTATCGATAAATTGTGAAGGTTTTATAGATCCTTCCTGAAACTTACCGCGCTGCCTCGTGTAATGGAGTGTTGCCTCGATCATTTTGTGCATCAACATTCGGTTTGTGCTGGAGAGAAAAATTATCATACAAATAGTTGAGCAATTTTAACCGTTGTCACGCTAGGCAATGTACTTGCAAGCTGTTTTGCATTTTTCTGAAAAAACATATTGCACGAAAGACTGACTAGTCTTACACCAAAACAATATTGTGCGTTGCAACAAGAGGAATCACATCTACATCTACATCTACATCTACATCTACATCTACATCTACATCTACATAATTTATTTGCAAAATCCAAAAGGACATCTAGCAAATTCCAGTGCAAGTGCAAGATAAAATAAATAAATAAATATGTGCAAATAAGGTAATAATAATTGTGCTAATAATGATTAAATAAATAATAATCACTTAATATGTGATTTTACCAATCATACAGCCCCCAATCAACCCCATATCGGCAACCTTCCAGTTATACCTTAACTGGACAGGTCACGATTGCGACACAATTTAAGAGAGTACGACCCAGCATGGAATAGAGTTGAACCATGGTTAATAGAAGGGAATGGTTATGAAACCTATTGTTATAGGTCTTTGTTCACTTTTTTCAAGCGTGACCAGTGGCGGATCCAGGATTTTTCAAAGGGGGGTTCCGTTTCTTAAGCTGTGTATAATTCTCTTTTGTTTAGTCGATGTTTGACAAAAAAATTGGCTCTAATCACCTAATTTACTATCTAGTAACGGAACTTAAAGGTAAATTAAACATTATAACAGCAAATATCAAAACTACAAATATTTTTTTATTAAAATTTATATAAGACATATTTCTATTACTTAAAAGATCAAACCTTCAAGGGGGGTTCCGTGGACCCCTTCAACCCCCCCCCCCCCCTGGATCCGCCACTGGTGACCCTGCACAATCCTTTGTTTTACCATTGTTTTACCATTGTTGGCAATGGTTGAGTGAACAGACCAAAATCTTTATWTTGGCTGCTAGTTCAAAATACTTAAAGATTTATAAGAGATATTTGAATATTCCTTACAATAATCCCATAGACAAAGTTTGTTTACTTATTTTGCAATTTTGGATGAGCATAAATCAAACCTTGTGCACGGTCAAGACCGGTTCAACATCAAAAGCGAACAAAGACCTGATAACAATAGGTTTCATAACCATTCCCCTCTATTAACTATGATGGAACTGGAATGCAATTTTTTAACGTTCAGTAAAATCGCGAGACCAAGGGCCCCAACTTTGCTGCAACACATATGCAACATATACGAGTTGTACGATTGATGGAAGTCTTATGAAAACCACTTTCGGGATGACTGCGTTTAGCGAATTCTTAATTTAAATAATTTACTCCAGCACACAGTCGGTTACGACACAGAGATCTAGGAATTTGAATAGAGAGTTCAGTCGTCTTACAAACAAATTTTTCGTTCTCTGAGTTACTATATAGGGCAATTTTAAGTTTCTGGAAAGGATGTGGGATCCAGTCAAAGCTCCCCCGCATCCGCCCCTGCACTCTCAAGAAGAATGCCGGAAGTGGGTTAGAGCGAATCTGATTGGTTAATACCTCGAGTAGGACCAAAGCCGGTGCTAGGTTTCCATTGACACAACAGAAGTGTAACGGAGTGTTGCCTTTATAGTCTTTGACGTTGACTTTGGATTGATACTTGAGTAATGATTCGGCCACCTGATTGAGAGAAATAATATACACAAGAAATGTAAGTCATGTTTATGAAACAATCCATGAATGTTGAGGAAAAAGAACAAGGGTGAGGTGTGTTGCTAAGGTGCTCCCTCTCACCACTGAAGTCATCGGTTCGAGCCCCGAACTCGTCATCCTCGATTGAACCGATACTAAGGCTCAGGTCAAACGTCGATTTTCACATGAGCCAAACCTAATTGAAACAATGGATAACAAGGCGTTCTTCTTTGATGCTATTAGGTTCGGCTCATCAGAAGTTAGACGCTTGACATGAGCCTTAGTTTTTCTTTTATTTTGAAAAATTTCATGAGGAACTAAATTTTGTTTGGGGCCCACTGTATTTGGTCTATGCTGTGAATTGTCCCTGTTATCGATACCACCAAACCATCATGACGCTTAAAAGCCCAATTTATTATTACTGTGTTGCGATAATGACCGAATTGATGGATAATGGATATTTTTTAGAACCATACAATAAAGATAGAAGATGACAATAACAACCTTGAAGCGTTCTAACTTACCTCCTGATGGTTGTACTGGCATGCCAGATGTAGAGGTGTCTGTTGTTTACGGGTGTTCTTTACATTAGGGTTAGCTCCATGTCTTAGTAGTAGGTTAGTGATATCGGTATATCCACGTACTGCTGCTACATGTAAGGCAGTGTTACCATCCTCATTAGCACAGTTCACGTGGACTGACCGCTCCAATGATCGCTGGGTTAGCTGTGGGTCAGACATCAAAATCTCAGCGTGCACCATCCATTTCTGGATGCATGCTCGCGCACGCTAATTAACCAATCAAAGCGCGCGTAATATCGTGGCTATGTTATAATTACCTTTTGCCATTTGATGCACTTTTCACACTGGCAAAGAGGATGACAAAGATCTTCCTCTGATTTACACTGTTCCTCGCCGCCATCTTCTTCGTCTTCTTCATCTAGGTTCAGTCTAAAACGAACCTGAAATATACACAAGAAATATGTTTTCCCCCACATTTATTGCATATTTATGTCACGAACATATAAAGTATGAAAAGTATGGAAAAATAAATAAATAAATAAATAAAATTAATTAAATAAAAATAATTAAATGAAAATAAATCATTAAATAAATAA